CTGCAATCCTCATCAATTTTTCTTCTCTGCGATGATGTAGGTTTACATGGACTTGTGAATCGCTGATCTTGATTACGCTTTTATAGCTTGGCCTGCTCTTCCCTCTTTTCTCTTTGATAAGTAAGCTGGATTACAACCCAAAACTTTAAGGTCATAAACTTGATCTCTTTCCAATTCAACCATGGGCTTCAACTGAATGGCAGGCCATTTAACTAAGCAATGATACATGTACTTTTTAGTGTTGACAATACAATGAGTTGCATCAGCTCAAGAAGGGGCTGGTTGAGCTTTCTCTCGAGGAGGAACACCAAGCCATGATTTCATCATGTCATATGCGGTGAAGCCAATAGCCACAGAAGGAACAATCTGCAATCCAAACACTTCTTTAATATTAGCAGTTGTTTGTGTGGTATACAAAAACAATGGCTGCTTTGGTTGCTTCTGATGCTTTTGAAAAGTGCGAGAAATTTGGTTCTTTAGTGAAAGAAGACGACTTCACAATAGAATGGTACCTATAGTTTGACTCTCTCTTTCATCAAGGACATATGAAGGCTATATTTTAGTACCAAGGCTGTTGGTCTATGCCTATTAAGAGCTTCGGATGCACATACGTGCCCATAGGCAAACAGCAACTATATACGCATACATACACATAAGCACACATCCATACATGCACAACAGAAAATAGCTCATCACCTCATCCACACACCAAGTAGAACATAAACACAAGCCCAGGTGCATCATGTATACTAAAACAACAGGAGGTGTTTATACATGATATAACATACAAACAGTATCATCATAGGGATGCATTCATAGACCACATGTACACATGTATACATGGAAGGGGTATGGATCTAAAGTAGGTGTACATCTGTTTGAGTGCCGCATCCCCATGGGTTTGTGTACTATGATATATATATATATATATATATATTTATAATGTTAACCTGGTTTGTGTACTATGACATTCATTTGTGTACTATGATATTCGTTTGTGTACTATGATATTCTTAACAGCCAATTCTATTTTACTAAATTTATGCCAAAAACTGGTACAAACTCAAGTGCACAGGATCATTTGTCCATGAGTCCGAGTGAGTGAACATGTGTATTGTGGGTATGTACGTTTGTATTTTACATAAAAAATTACGTGTAGATTGTGTGCACTAAACGCAATGCAGCATTCATCTGTCAAGTTATGTCAACAAGAGGATCACAGGTGTGCATGTGCACAATGTATTTTTGACTAACCCAAGAAGTGCACACACTTGCATAAGGATGCATTTGTTTTCTTGTTTGCTCAAATGCAAGTTTCTGTGTAATATTTTGTCCATGGGAGTTGGTGTGGATGTGCATGTTGATGCACATGAGGGAGCGTGGCTATTTGCTGAAATATCAGTGCACATTTTAGACCTTTGACATTCATGAAGGGTCCCTATGATACCTTCATATAATTGAGGCTTAGGCCTGCAAACAACTGCTTCCAACCTTGGTTGTGGACAATTAGGCGGAGACTTTGCATTGTGCTTGTGGAGAATTCAGGACCCTGAACCTGAATATGCAATATCCATGTAACGAAATAACAAAATGTTAAACACAATACTTGAAGCAAAAGTATAAGAAAATCATCAAAGTTTACCATACAGCTGCCTCAATTGAGTGAGAAAGAGTAAATCCTAATATACCAAGGTGTCGTTTCCAATTCATACCTGCATTTGTCTTCTGACCACGTCTAATGGATAAGTGAATGTTTGGCCCAACAAACCAGCCAAAGCCCCACAAGAGAGACGCAGCACTACTGATTTCTGGTGCTCTTCAGGAACATGGCGCTTGAGCTCCTCGTATATGTAAAATTTCAGACCAGCATAAGGCAGGATCCCAACAAGTGTTGGAGCTGAAGAAAAACAGATATGTAAACATTAGTAACCTTTTGTGAATTTTTTGAAATCTGTTTTGCTATTTTTTGTGGGGTTGGACTTAGGAAATCTGTGCACTGCAGTTTCTGTTCGGTACTAGGGTTACTAATTGAATTCTCTTTTCTAATGGAAGCTCTATTATGGACAAATGACATTAACAATTTGAAAACATCGAGCTACTGATAACATATATATATATATCTTACCTTTTCAAAGATCCACGGAAGCAATTCACAATTCTTTTAATTAGATAGGGTGACGATTTCTTAAAATTATATCAAAAATAAATTTCACAAGAACATCACCGAATAATATTCAATTCAAGCTTCCTGACATATATCTCCAGCTGTATGCAATTGTGTTAAACCACCGTAATTTCTGTTAACTCTCTACAAAGTTAGTTATCACAGAACAGGATTTGATCAATAAAAAACATAAGATAAGTACGCGATAAATGCATGAAGAAACATTCCAAGTGCAAATGCAAAATGCCATATTAGTTGTGAACCGAGTGAAGTGTTTTGCTTGTTTGTATTTGAAACTTACATTCTTTACGTGAGCACCTTAACATAACTGTACTCACCCAAAAAAAAAGTTACATTCTTTATAATTGCTTTTTTCGACCTCCCACTGCAAGTGTCTCATATGCCCATATTCGTTTCAGTATCGTATAAATAGACATTTCCCTTAGTGGTGCTAGGGATACCTGAGTGTATAGTATTCCCTTGGATTATCCTGAAAATCCATAATGCAGGTGGATTACAAAATGAGACAATAAGAGAAAATGACTCAAGAATGCCATGTTGACCGATTTGCAAGTGAAATCATTCTAGTCCCTTCACAAATTAACCAACGGAAGGACGTATTTGTCTATGCTTAACAAGAACCTAGGACCTCTGTGCAACATTACCACCTGAGTTATTGCTTCCATGATAACTCCTCGTGGTTTCCTGTCCATTTCCTTTTCACTCCTACTCTTATAGACCATCTCATGGCAGTTACGGCACTTTCAGTGTGTGTGAAGGAGACGATTATATATGCTCACATTCAGCTTAAATGATTGAATTCTTCAAAATTTTAGATTCAATTAAAATAGGTAGATCCACTAATGACTACTTCATTCAAGCTCCTTGCAACAGTCACCAGCCCTTGTATCATTTTTGTTGGTAAATAATTGTCATAAAAATTCTTCAAAATAGACATGAATATGCATCCACTCACACTATTTTACAACAAAAAATATCTAAAGGCATAACATACTCTAATAAAAGAACACAGATCAAATCATAGAAATGGAAAAGAACAATCTATGCATGCTAATATCAGAATGACATGATAGAAGCAAGAAAGCATGGCAAGCCCATACCTACTCCTCGATAAAGCCCAAGCAATCCACGTTCCATATAAACCTTCCTGAATACATCTTTTATTCCACTGTATGTTGGCAGCACATGAAGACCACTCAAACCAGTCCCAAGGCCTCCCCTTGTACAAGTTACCTGCACAAATTACAAACTATGAAAACTCCGAATGTAATATTATTAAGCATTAGTAGTCAGTCTGCTTAAATGAATAGCACTAAAAAGAATGCCTGCTGCTAATGCCTTCAGAAATCACTAAAAATGTAATAACATGTTACCATTTAGGAAATAATAAAATATGTGACATAGCACATTAATTGTTTAAAACAGATTTCTGTAATAGCTTGTATATTATGTATCTATACTTTTTTCTAATTTTGCATTTATACTTTTTCTCAACTCTTCGGTTATATTGTAAATCATGTCCTGCCTAGAGTTTCTTTTACCTTCCAAATAATACCAAGCCAAGTGGGCCCATAACCACCTAGGCCTGCCTGGAGCTTTTGACTACTGACAAAGGGTTCCCCCAAATGTATTAAGCCAATCACAAGGAGAATCTTTAATCCTGTTGCAAGATGAGAGTGGTTTATCTGTTACTTCCAGTGGAAGCTTCAATGAGATGGCCACCATATCAATGGCATGAAAGAATATTTTCCTTTATATGTTTTCCTCTATGGGAATCTCAAAGTGGAAGTCTGCATGCCCTACCCGCCTGGTTTCTCTAGAATACAGAGAGAGGAAGGGAACACTTTGCACGTCAAAGAAGGTCAAAGTGGTCCTAAGAAGCCATGTTGGACTTTGTTCAAGAAATCCAGCCAGCAAGTAATAGGGACCCTGTTCATAACTTATGCTAGCAATTACGTGATGTTTGTAAAGAATGAGGTGCTACAATGTGTCAAACTATTCTGACATATAATGGAGATTATGGATGATAAAGAAACTATACAGATTCTCAAGAAAAAACCGTTACTTCGCAAAGTTCAACTAGTTTCTTAGAAGTCAATTGGTAAGATCAGGCAGGAAAATTAAATTCCACAGCCAAAGTATACTCCAGAATTGCTTTCACCAATGTAGCTTTCTTAACTTGTAATGTAGCTGCCGACCCATGCATTTCACCAATGGAACGAAACCATCAATTGACATCACAATTTCTAATCCCTAAGGTGATCATGAAATGTATAAGAGGCTTGGAGCAAGCACAATAGAAATCCCCACATCACATGTCTCAAATAGAGTGCATTCCCACATGCACTTACCCAAGAACATGACCTTGGTTCTGTCTATAGCATATCATTCTGCAACCTTGTGTTTTCATTCCAGACTTGAAGTGTTTATACGCACATTCCCAAGACCTTCATTTATATAATTAAATTGAATATAGATCCTGGACTCATCTCAATTGGATTGGACGTCAAGAGGTCTGAAATTCTAGGACAAGGCACTGCACTTAGTACGAGGAAACTTCACAGAAGCAGAGATTGCTATACATCCATGCATAGGGAAATGGCTTCGACTACTTGTGAAATCACATGCCTGAAAGCACTTGTCAAAGCATGTAAATCAACAGAAGTATACCTATAAAGACACATCGTGATGATCAATCTATGATGCATGTAACTACAACCTGGTATTCCATGAGGGGACCAACTATACAGAAGAATAGCATTTTGTCAGAGTAAAACTGTTGGCAGGACTTCTCAAGATGGTTTGCAAACATCAAGTGGCTGTAAACTTTCTTAAGCTCTTGGAAAGCACAAGTCAGACAAACTCCTTCACAGACAGAGCATAATGGGTATCAATGTACCATCTTGAGAGGAAGAAATGGCTAATCTAGTTTCTTAGAAGTTACAAAAAGAGCAATGCCACCTTTGAAAATGTTTATTTTATTTATTATTTCCGTTATTTTTCTGGGAATTCCTTAGAGGAATGTTTGTCCTTGCTACACATCTCCTAACACGTACCTTGGCTGATGTTGGCCCAAGTACCTGAGAAACAAAGGCAATTAAGTATCTTGAAACTGGATAGATGAGTTGTTTAGGAATATGCATGAGGGGAGGTCATTATCTTCTATTATCAGCTCCCATAATCTCTATATGAGGCTATTTAATGGAAAATAAGGCTCATATGTATCCTATTTTCTACAAGAAATCCAGTTTAGCAATCCGTTGCTGTGGACTGTGGCTCAGCTTGGACAGACCACTAAATAGGCATTCTTCTTTTTCTTTTAACATGCAAGTGGGGGTGGGGGAACTCAAGTTAACCGATTCTCAAAAAAGTGGGGGAACTCTTCTGCAACATGATAGTCCCTTTCCATTTTTGAGTCCCACTTGTGTGAAAAATCCGCAAATTGCTGGAATACCTTATTAACGTCAAAAAATAGAAAATAAAATAAAATGTGTTTTGGCTTGAATTGTTGCAGAGATGAATAAAACTGCTTGTCTGTCCAAACTTGCCCTATATCTGTCAGGTCAGTATGGTCAACTGTGATCTAGATTTGTTTATTACTCGATGCAATCAGCTTCCGAAGACCTTAACTTTTCACCTGACTTTCTATTTGGGATGATTCAAAGCTCAAATCAGTGACCTCTCCTAGATCTATACAAACTATTTCCAAGCTGACTAAAAGCTAGTAAGTCTCAATTATGGTTTAATCTACTAGAAGTCTAAGACCAGCACACATCATCCAAACCATTAGATTAAGATTATTTTCTTTATTTGTGGAGTTTCATAGTTATTTGAGTTTCTCTAGAATGTTTTTATTTATTTATTAAGTAATAGTTCCTTTTTTTTATTACTTAGTGTTGATGGCCAAGTTACTAGATGAAGCCCATTTTTGGTAGGACTAGAGGTTCTATAATTCCAAAAATACATGTACTTGGCACATGGCCAGACAAGTTATTGCAAAATAAAGATTTGGTTTGAATTGGTGGGATGAGTGCATTTTGTTAAATGTCTTTTGCGTTGTGATGCCACAAGGCCCTAGCTCTGGCATGGAGTGATTCCTTCCCAAAAGTTAGGGCCCCCTTTTCCTCATCTTTTTACATGTCCCCCTCCCACCCTCCCTCCCTCTGATTCGGTTTTGAATTGGTGGAGTGAGTGTATTTTCTGAGTGGTCCTTTGCCATGTGATGCCTCAAAGCAATAACTGTGATCCAGATTTTTTTATTATTTGATGCAATCAGCTTCCAAAAACCTTAACTTTGCACCTGAATTTCTATATGAGGTGATTCAAAGCTCAAACTCTCCTAGATCTACAAGTACTGTTTACATGGTGACTCAAAGCTAGTGAGTCATGGTTTAATCTACTAGAAGTCTAAGACCAGCAAACATTGTCGGAACCATCAGATTAAGATTTATTTTCTTTAGTTGTGGAGTTTCATACTTATCTGAGTTTCTCTAGAAGCAGGTTGTTTTTTGTTTAATTTATTTATTTAAGTCATAGTTCCTTTTTTATTAGCGTTGATAGCCAAGTCATTAGATGAAGCCCATTTTTGGTAGGATTAGAGGTTTTATAATTCCAAAAATACATGTGTTTTATAATTCCAAAAATACATGTGTTTTATAATTCCAAAAATACATGTACTTGGCACATGGCCAGACAAGTTATCGCAAAATAAAGGTTAGGTTTTTGAATTGGTGGGATGAGTGCATTTTGTTAGTAGTCTTTTGCGGTATGATGCCACAAGCCCTAACTCTTGCTTGGAGTGATCCTTCCCAAAAGTTAGGACCCCGTTTTCTCATTTTTTTACATGTCCCCCTCCTCCCTCGCTTTGATTTGGTTTTTGAAATGGTGGAGTGACTGCATTTTCTGAGTGGTAGTTTGCTGAGTGATGCCACAAAGCATAACTCTTACTTGGAGTGAATTTTTTATTTTTTTTATGCTAACTCCTGCTTGGAGTGATTCCTCCCCAAAGTTAGGGCCCCTTTTTCTCCTTTTCTTTTTCTTTTCTTTTTTGAGTTAGGGCCCCCCTTTTCCACCCTTGTACCACCAACCCGAACCTTAGATCCATCAACCTAAGCCCATCAAACCTGATACCACTTGAGAAGATGAGCTCCCTTGATCCTACACATCAATATTTAGCCTCTTTTATCTGCCCTGGTTTAGGGCATATGTGTACATTGTTAATTGCCTGTGTGCCTTAAATAATTTTATACACACTATTCATACATAATCCCGAATGGGACTTTGAGTCACATTTCTCACAGAATTGTTTAATATTTTTTATTGCACTGCATGCTATGGTATTTCACTCGCAGAAAATCCTAGTCTCTTCTATCTAGGGTTTCTACAATTGCAATAGAAGAAGCCATAGGACATCCATAAATTCACCTATTCAGCCAAAAGTTAGATATCACAGATGCATCAAGGATATCAACCAAATGATCTAAATCCCTGGATAATAAATTCCAGATCTTGAAACAACAATTTGTAACCTTTGCAACCAGTGGAGGAGAAGATCATGAGTTAACAATTTATCCCATTATTCACCAAAAGTGGGATCCTATAAAAATACAACTGACCATATGAGAGTTTACACTTGGTCAAAACTCCCATTTAAGCTCATGATCATCCAAGGCTTGCCAGTAGAATTCAGTAGTTGGTAACAACAAAAGATTTATACTTAAAATATTTCTTGTTGAATAAGTGCTTTTTATTTCAGTATTTCAGTTGTTCCCCTATTGATGCCTTTTCTATAGATGGAAGTCCGGATAATTATGGCGCTGGTTGACTGCTGTTTTGAGTTGTACGCTACCTTGAGGGGTATGTTTAATGGGGAAAGGCACACAATGTACCTGGATTCCCCCAATGTTCAGCCCTTTGTTTCAAACCTCATCCAAAGGTAGCCCTTTCTTACTCTTCAGTCTAATGCTCCCACCCGCCTCCATTTTGTGGACATTGTGCACAAGGTTCCACTCTAAAAGAAGAGGAAGCAGGGATTGGTATGGTTCCCTACTCAATAAGTATAGGTATGTTGGCAAGCAAGGTCCCATTCTCTCTTTCCGGAGCATGAGGAAGGGATAATTATATCAGGATAATAGTTATATGAGCATAGGAAGCTATCCTACATATATAGCTTCATCAAGGCCTGCAGATAAGTCTCCCAAAATGTGGAAGTCAAGGTTTAGAACCTGAGTAAAGAGGAGAGGATCATTCTATTTTGGGGATTGTAATACGGGTAATCCCATGGGCTACAAACCAGGCCAACTGCCATGGGCAAAGGGTGGTCAGCTTGTTTGGATTTATGGGAAGGGCTTCGGGGATGCAAACCCTTGACCATCCATGCCGAAGCCGCAACATCTGGCACAAAGCCAAAGCCCAAGGAACAAGATTAAAAAAGGCCTCCAGATAAGTAGCCAGTCAAAGAGACATTCGGCTAGGTGGATATAAGGCTGATGATAACGAGGGAATATATGGAGGAATATTCCCTACAAAGTTCAACCAAGCACCTTGAATTTTCAATAGAAAGGGGTACAGTATGAATTCCGATAAGTTACAAGAACTCATAAACAGTAAAGAGATCCCAAAGCAGTGAGAAATCCTCACCAATACAATGCATAAGAAGACTGTTCCAAGAATAGATATAGTTTCCTGATATTACAAAGTTACTCTGTTATGTATCTGCTCTGCCACTCAAAGCCGTCACTACCCTAATGGCATCTAATTACAAGAAGCAACTTTTTCCTTCTCAATGTTTCTTTTTTATTGTCTTTATTTCCTTTTGGTTCTCAGCAAAGGAAAAAAGCAGGAATGTGCTAAGACTGTATAATATTCATTACAAATAATCCGTACTGCACTCTTAGAGGTGTAGTTAATAAACAGAACCAAACAAAAGAGATTGGATTTGTACAGTGAAAGCTTTATGTACCTGGTAAGCAAGTTTTGTCCGTGCCAAATCCAATGGGTAAGTGCACAAAACTGCAGTTCCTCCTGCTGCTGAACCAGCTAAAAGATCCACAACAGGTCCTGTTCCAATGCTTGAATAGTTATTGAGGATCCAACACCGATATTGTTCATATGTCATGAAGTGAAGTGCTGCATAAGGGATGATTCGAAGGACACTAGCACTGTTCCCTCTAGAAGACAAAATCAATAATCATGATATAGACTTTCCTCAAAAGGATGAGCTGGAAAACAATTCAAAACCCATAAATGCACTTTATCAAATAAGCAACTTACTTGTAGAAGCCTAGAACACCTTCATTCTTCAACAACTTCTTCAAAGATCGAAACACCCCAAGAGAATGAAAGCCTTCATTTCTAGTCTGAAAAAGGATACTTAAATCATTGTCATATACAATTTCAGTATGCCAAAGTTAAACCGTAAACAAACACCTTATAAATGAATTGCAGCAAAAGATATGGGGCAACTGACAAAAACTTGGAAAACAATTTCAATTTATTTTCTTAGGATTTGGAAGATAATCTAAGGAAAATTAACAAGACACCAACTATTACATGGAAAGAGAGCAACTTGATTACGTCTTTGTACACATTTCCCACTTGAACATACTTCTAGTTGGTTTCTGGTATCAAGCCTGCTAAAAAAAGGGAAAGTGCCGAATAGAAAGATGAAATTTCAAGTATTTGGGGAAATTTGAAACATGCTCCTTGTGATCTATGAAAACATAATCAAAAGAATAGTTTACATCTATCTGCACCCAAATATTTACGAGCAGAAACGACTCCAAAGCTCCAGTGGTTTCAACAGAAATAAATAGTTATGCATAATAGGAAACAAAAAAATCGATAAAAATAGGAATTCAAATAGAAAAAGAATAGAAAAGCAGGAATACCACAAGCAGTAAGAACCAAAATAAGAGATGCATCCAATTCAATCACCTGTAAAAGTATCTTAAGTCTCTCCAGTGGTGCAACAGCAGTCTTTGCAAACCCACCTGCCGCCCCTCCAGCAATCAACTCCTTCACATAAACAGGCATAGCATCCTGAAGTCTGATGCTCTCATGAGAAGATCCGTCCTTATTACTACCCTTCAAAGTCTTTGCAGTGTATTCTGCGACATTCGAACCCAACGTGGTTGTCGATCCTTGAGGGGAACCCATTGAAGCCAAATCGCTTGATACCAAAAATAACCTCACCCCAATTCAAAGGAACACCTAAAAGGTACACCAAAAAACTCAACCACAGCAACCCCAATTCCCCAAATTCAAATAACCCCACTTCTTAAGAGACCAAATCGAAAACCACCACAAATTTTATATTAAACCTAGAAATCAAAAGAATCCGATATGGAACAAGCAGATAACAGGATAAACCATTACCCAGCCTGCAATTTAGCAAATTCCTTATCCCATCTCTCTCTGGAGAGACAAAAGGAGAAGAGATCTCTTCGAAACGGAAACAACAAGACTCTGAGGATGCTCATAAACTGGTTGTACTCCTCAGGTTCATTGAGCTCTCTAAGAAACATCAACAACCAATACCAATACCAGCAATAAAACCTCGGAAAATATCAACACTCCCATGGATGTGAAGAAAAGCAAAATCTACCCATCAATCTTTATCAGATGAGAGAGTATGTTGAGGAATTTGATCGAGATATGAATCAAGAAAAAGAGCCGAAGAAAGCCAACCTTTAGAGAGAGAAAGAAAAAAATGGGTTAAATTTCCTATTTCCTGCCCTCTCTGATATGAAAAAGGCGAGGGTTTTCGATCAGGTGGTCCTTTGGGTAAGATTTAGAGAACAAGGATCACCTGGAGAACCCCCGCTGGCCTTCACCAGACCCTTCTTTCTCTTTCTTTCCTCTCTTTCTCTCTCCTGATTCAGAATGAAGAGAACAGTTTCAGGATTTTAGAGAGAGAAACACCCTTTTATAGGCCTTCGATTTGAATGGATCGTTCCTACGATCAATACCATGTTTATATTGGACGTATATACCCTTGTACTTTTGACAAAATAGACCAGAATATCCTCTTCCTTTTTTAACGATAATTAACCCCATTAACGGCTGGTAATGGGTGATTTAATTTTGAGTAATAATCCTATAAGACCCTTCATCCACATATATGTAGGATTTTTATATGTAGGATTTCAAATGATCATCGTTAAATTTGACACGAATCCATAAAAAAGTTATCATATAAGTGTAGGATTTGACTTTTTTTATAGATCGGTACCAAATTTAATAGTGATTATTTGGGGTTCTACGCATATGGATCATTTCACTTTACTGTTTTCCTGTTGAGGTGGCATCAAAAAGTTATATACCTCAAATACCAATTGAAAAATGTTGTTTTGTAAAATTCTCTAATTGATCATCTTGACCTCGATATATATGGATGAAAAAATAAATAAATTTCAAGTCTTAAAATTATTACATCTTGTAATATATTATTTAGGGCGTGTATTGTTTAGATTTTTGAGTGCTCATAAATCTGCTAGATTTGCACCATTTTCAAAGCTTTTAATTTTATTATAGAAGTAAAAAATAAACTTTTGATAAGAGTTTTGGCACCAAAAATACATTAACTCTTAATGAGATTTTGAGGTGTACCTTACCATGATTGTTTAAGGTTGACACCTTATAACAACCTCACCCTTTTAAAAATGGACGTGCTTTGTCTAAAGTCGAGGCTCTAAAAAATAAAAATAAAGCTCACATTCAAATTGTGTCGAGAAATGTCGTTTCAATATTGAAAATCTTTGTGATAACCTTAAAATATATTTTCTTCTTTAATTATAAAATCTAAAGCTTAAAAAATAGTGTAGATCGAACAAATCTATGAAAACACGAAAATCTTGAAAATTGACTTGTCCAAAAATGCATTACAAGATACACTATTTCCAAACTTGAAATCCATTTTTTTTCTTGTGTCTATACATCTTGAGGTCGAGATAGTCAATTTAAGGATATTTGGGCATCAAAACAACCTCTTCTAGTAAAAGTTTTTAGGTGTACCCTAATTTGATTGTTTAGAGCCTAGCATTTATATAAACGTTTTCCTTAAAAATAATGCATAGGTTTTATGAAAACAAAAATAAAGCCTTACCTCAAATCCCTGTCTGGAAAGTACTTTCGGCAACAAAAATCTCTATATGGCTCTAAAATCAGTTTTCAACACCGACAATAATATTTGAAACAAAAAAAAATGGTACAAATCTTGCGGATCTGTGAACACTAAATTTTAAAGGAAAATAAAAGGTCTAGATAATTTGTTATAATATACACTATTTTTAGAAATCCTTTTTTTTTTTTTCACAACCATAATGTTCTAGTTGAATGATTGACGTAAAGGTTTTTCAATGCTCGACTAGCAATTTTCAATGAGTTATAAGGTGAAGATTTACTTATTTTGATACGTTTGTAGCCTTATCAAACTATTTTCCTTTAAAAAATACCAGTCCATACTAGAAACCTATGTTCTAGATAAATTTAGTTAATGAAGATCTGTTTTTTGACAAATTAGTGAATGGAAATATTGATCTATGCATTGCATGGTATTACTCTTTATTATATTCTCTTGATTTTTACGTATTGGATTCAGTCGATGTAATTTACCAAAGTAGCTCACAATTTTCTTTTTAATTTACGTCAAAACTCACCAAAAAAAAGTTCTTTCACGAAACCTCTAATTCATTATCTCGACATTGAGATATAATGATGTATGGATATGAAAAAAAAAAGATTTTAATCTTAGTTTATTTTGTAATAATTATTCAAACAATTTATTTTCAATATTTACAAGTATTTATAAATTTTAATATTCCTATTGGGGTGCTGGTGAAAGTGAACCATGAATTCAGCCAATATTGAGGTGGAAATAAATAACAAAACTTCGATGGAATAGAGCTTTTTTTTGATATCAATAAATTAAAAATTGGTGACCGGATCTGAAATCGGGCGATTCGGATTGGGAATCACCATGACTGTCTTGGATCTGGTAAAAAATCGGGATTTGGTTAATTAAAATACTAGGCCGATTGTTTTGCAGAACTGCCGATTTCGACGATTGTTCATTGAGTCTGACCGATTCTTCATCGATTCCGACTATTTTTCATCAAGTCAAGCTAAAAAAAAAAAGAAAAAAGGATGAACAAATTTATTTTGAATTGTTTTTTTTTTTAAATTGAGAGAAAAATTACCAATTTCATCGATTTTTTCGATCCGATCCACCAATTCCTTCGATCCAACATAGGTATGGTTTTGACCGATTCGAGTCACCGCGCCGTTATGCTAAACACTGTTTGATATTGAGGACTATTTAGGATAATATGTGTATTGTTTATAAAGTGTTCAATAAGCATGTGTTTCTCGAGGTGTGGGCACGGTTAGAAGGGTCACGTTATCCCACATGACGTGCGTGAATGTTCCATTTGCTGGGGCGCAAGTTGGTTTATGGTTGAAAACGAAGTTCGATGTATGGTGTATCCATGTGCCGCTTCAAATACTATGAAAAAAATAATAAATATTTTTTTTATTTTAAAAATTTTAATATTTTATGAAAAATTGTTTCCTGCGGGATGGCTTGCATTTTTACATTATGCGGTCCCAAATACATTCATCTTAAAGATGGATGCATATAGGTGGTCCATCGAAAAACAATTGAAACTACCTGTCCAAATTATTATTTATAATTTATAACATTTATTTATTTTTTCATATTCATGATCTCTATGTTAGAGATTACGTACCCTTAAAAATTAAGTCCACAAATCCATCTAAAAAATAGATAAGAGGTGACTCATTTTTTCATAGACTCAGAAACCGGTCCATATTTTATATTTGGAAAAACTTTATGTACTTCTCGAACATTCAAAATTTTCCTGCACATCCATATCTTAGCCATTTGATATGAATGAACAGTTGAGATGGCCACAATCACAATAACACGCATATATGCTGTTTTATTTTTAAGTGTTTTTATACAAAATATTTTGACACCAAATTTGGGACGTCTACTCCTCTCTTAAACTCGCACATGTAAAAAATATAAAAAAGGGCAAAAAAACTGGGCTTAATTGGTTAGCACTTTACGATTTGCTACGTTATGACCTAGGCTCAATTCCTAACAAAGGTAGGGGCCGTCTCCCCACTGATTCACCTATATATATTCCTAACAAAGGTAGGAATATTCATATGATTTGCTATATATATATATTCCTAACAAAGGTATATATATATACATATGATTCACCTATATATATTCTTAACAAAGGTAGGAATATTCGTATGAAGTGCTCCCCATCACACGTACAAATTGCATATTCATATGATTTGTATAAAAAAATTAAAAATAGAATACTCTGAGATGTTAGATCTAGATCAAATATAGTATCTCACTAGTCACATTTTGAGACAAGTAACATCAACCTTCCATTTAAATTGGTTGACGGAATAGGAGGGAAAATATATAAGATCTAAGGCAGAGAAGTATAGAAAGTTCTTCCTTTATATTTTATATTCCTGCCTCATTTTGAAGGAGTACATCTAGCATTTTAATTAAGCTCTTTTTTAATTACATCATATTGAACTCAAATTTTGTGTATTTATTTTAAAAATATATAAATAAAAATTACCAAACTATCCATCTAAATTTTATAGATATTTTGGCTTTTAGGTCAGTTTTTGTATTTTATAGGTACATAATGGTTAGAAGTATGGCTATCCAAAATTTGAGTTTAGTCCGATTTATTTTAAAAATAAAAATAAAATATAATATGTGCTCTAAAAAAGTGGAATATGAGCAGAAAATATGAAATATTGAAGACAATTTTAATTTTTGTAAAATATAAGGAATATTAACGTGAAATTCAATGGGGTAGTTAATCAACTAATTTATCACAAAGTGGAACCTTTAAAATTTAAATTTTTTGGATTTTTTTTTTTTTTTGACAATGTTACAAAGATACACAATCTCTAGTTACAAAGTCATCACAAGGCACCCTTTTTTGCCTGCTTGTCCGCAATGTCATTAGCCTCTTAATATGCGTGGTGACAAAACCACCTCCATTGCACTAAAAATATCCATCACTTTGTCGAAAGAGGTTTCCAAATTTTATGGCACCAATTAATAATATATGTGGAGTCTCCTTCCACAATACAACAACATCCCCAACATTTTTTTTTTAACCAATTTAAGGCCACATATCATAGCACAAATCTCCACCTTATTAATTGTAGCATTACCGCAAGATCAATTGTAGCATTACCGCAAGATCAAAGTAGCAAATGATAATCTTAACACAACCTATATCTATCGTAACAGGATTCCCCATCGAACTCCCATCAAACTTTAGTTTAGCACTACTTTGTAGTAGTGGAGTCCATCTACCTCGTATAGATTGAAGACCGCCATATAACATTCTTCAAGTTCTGGATGATATCAACCTTAGAGATACCTCCCCCTGCCTTTGTAACTGAATACCATGACAAAATACAATGCAACATTTTTTCTTTCACTTTCTCCTCTTTTGAGCTAATTCCCTTAAAGCTACATCTATTACACTCCAGCCACACTTCCCAAAGCACTATTGCTCTGAAAAATTCTCAAATAATCTTCCCTCTCTTCGGCAAAACATAGATAGAATGATGCTCCAAAATATGGATCGTTGTCTGTGGCAGTTTCAAAGAACATCCCATCCTATGAAAAGCCCACATGTTAAGTTTGCTAGTAAATTCACAATATAAGAATATATGGTTACCATTTTCTTTGTCACATTTACATAGCAAACAAACATTAGCCATAATTTTGCCCCTCCTAAGATTGTCAACCATCAAAAGTTCTACCTTGCTTAAGAATCCACAAAAAACCTCTTATCTTATAAGGATA